AACCACTCCTACAAGATCACTATCAGTAGAATGGACGCACAACAACAACAACAGCAACAACAGTCACAAGACATAAAACAACACACACTCGTCAACCCAAATAAACACCTTGACCTCATCTTTAACTACGTAAACATCAACGACGACAATGATAACAACAACAACAACCGCAACAACTTTAACAACAACCGCAACAACTTTAACAACAACCGCAACAACTTTAACAACAACATCAACAACTTTAACAACAACTTTAACAACAACATCAACAACGTCAACAACAACCGCAACAACTTTAACAACAACATCTTCAATGACAACGTCACTAACATCACAGACACAAAAAATTAAACACGTCAGATGCAACCGACAACAACAACAACACGCACAACAACGTAAACATCAACAACTGCACCTCCAACAACACCTACAAAATCACTCTTAAAAACAAAAAAAAGCCAAATCTCACCCCAACAACCAAAAAAAAATCCTCACACACACAAACCCACCCCGTCTCGGCCAGTCACGTGACCAAATATGGTGTCGGCCACCTTCCTGGCAGAGTCAGCGTTGAAGACGCTGGTCCTGATATACACGGACATGACGTACCCGGAAGAAAGCTGGGGCTTGATGCTCACGGTCACCTCGTACTTCCGCTGTAGTTCTTCGATTAGGGTCAAGAGTTCGGCGTTTATCTGTGCGGGGCTTACGATGGGCACGTCAAAGGTGAAGGTCAGGGGTAGGAGGTCCTGAAGTTTGAAGTTGAGGAGGGCGATTTTAGAGATGACGTCAGTGGTGATTGTAGTGAGTGAGTGAGTGAGTGAGTGAGTGAGTGAGTGAGTGAGTGAGTGAGTGAGTGAGTGAGTGAGTGGTTGTATGGCCTTGACGATTAAAATTGTGATAATATTAAGAAGTATTGAGGGTCGAAACTGCAGCTGTCGAAGTAGCGATTGTGGCGATGAGGATGAGTCGACGACAGTGATGATTATGATGATGACGACGATGATGATGATGAAGAAGAGGAGAAGGATGATGACGACGATGATGATTTTGACCACCAGCGATGACGATAAATAACAATCGCATGAAATTATTGTAACTCTTGCGTACAAAAAGCACGGGTATTATATATTCTACAACTATACACACACCACACACACACGCACACACACGCACACACACACACACATACAAACATACACGCACACACACAAACACACACACACACATTTTACAGAGTCTTTTTTTTAAATTGAAAGTTTGAAGTTGGTTTCTTAAAAAAACAGTTTCTATCTTCTGAGTTTAGTTATATTGGATTTCAATAACTTTTTGCAGTTTAAGCCGTGATTCTCACTTTTGAGATTGTTGTGTGGCAAATTTTCTTCCTTCCTTTAGCTCTTGTTAGTGATAAGAATTAAAATTGAATTGTGTGCTTCTGTGTGTTTGTGTGTGCGTGTGTGTACGTGTGTGTGCGTGTGTGTACGTGTATGTGTGTGCGTGTGTTAGGTACAAGAATGTAGACCATGAATCACATTAGATAGGAGTACTGATTCGTGTTTCTGTTGTATGCGTTTGCGTATGTACGTTTGTATGTGTGAGTATATGCGTGTACAAGTGTGCGTATGTGTGGGTGTATATGTGTGTGTATATGTGTGTGTGTGGGTGTATATGTGTGTGTGTGTATATGTAGGTAAGTGTAGATATATTTTCGTTTTCTTGTATGTAATCGGTTTATTTATTGCAACTCATCCAAACATACAAATAGTTTTAATTATAGAGATACATACTCATAAAATGATACACACACATACACCTACATATACGCATAAACACGCACACATAAACACACACACACAAACACACACACACAAACAAACACACACACAAACAAACACACACAGACGTTTGAACTTTGTTTTCAGTACTTTATATCTTCATTAACTAAATTTCTTATGTGTTTGTTATGTCTGAAAACGTCTGGAAGCTTGTACATTTGTTTATGTTTGTGTGTGCTTGTGTGTATGAATGTGTGTGTGTTTGTGGGAATGTGTGTTTGTGTGTGTGTATGTGTGTGTGTGTGTATATTAATACAAACGTATGTTCCACATATCTATTACTATTACAGTAGAGCTACAGCCACTACTTTTACTAAGAGTACAACGACTACCGCTGAAGCTACAGCTGCTACTACTTCTACTACAACTATTTCTACTACTACTACTACTACTACTACTACTACTACTACTACTACTACTACTACTACTACTACTGAAACTAACTACAAATGTTTCTAAGAATAACATTTATAAATAAGAATACAAAAAATAAATATGAAATAAAAGCAGGCTTGAAGAATGCGTTAATGGGGGTGCAAGCGTCACCGCCAACATCATCATCATCATCGTCATCATCGTCATCATCATCATCGTCGTCGTCGTCGTTATCATCACTGACCCTGATTTTTGACCTTGCAATTTCAACGTTTGGGAAAGCTCCAGCTATCGAAACCTGCAGCGAATCAATCGATCGATCAGTCAGTCAGCCAGCCAGTCAGTCAGTCAGTCAGTCTACCAGTCAGTCGGTCGGTCGGTCGGTCGGTCGGTCGGTCGGTCGGTCGGTCGGTCGGTCGGTGGTCGGTCGGTCGGTCGGTCGGTCGGTCGGTCGGTCAGTCAGTCAATCAATCAATCAATCTAAAAATGTATCAATCGATTAATTAATCAACCAAACAACTAACCAATCACTCAATCAACTCACCTGGTTGCTTTTTTCCACAAGACAGTTATTATTAGTTTTGTTATTATTATTGTTGTTGTTGTTGTGGTTATTCTGGCTTTTGTTGGAATCAGGAAAATGTATGTGGCAGCCGGTTTCTAACATCACCTAATGGTAATAAAAATAATAATAATAATTGTAATAATAATAATTGTAATAATAATAATTGTAATAATAATAATTGTAATAATAATAATTGTAATAATAATACCTTTTTGATATTATTCCCGCCTTTCCCAATAACGTGCGAATGTTCCGTGTGTGAAACGTTCATCTTAAAAGTGACCCTTGAACTCTGGTGGCGATTATGATTATGATGACGATGATGATTTTATGGTGATGATGATGATTTTATGGTGATAGTGATGATGATGCTATGGTGAATCATCATCACCACGTCGTTATCATCATCGTCACCACCACCATCATCATTATTATTATTACCATCATTACCAAATTTATAATATGGTGATGATTTATAACCAAATCATCACCATATCACATCATCATCATGTGCATCAGCTTTTTTACCATCACAATCATCATCAACAACAACAACCCACAACAATAACAACCACAACAACAACAACAACAACATCAACGACAACAACAACAATAATAATAATAATATTAACAACCTTTGTTGTAAGATTAGAGAGAATTCTATTTTTAGCATCTGCAACAGCTTCGGGTTTTCCCGTAACCTTGACATACGGATCTAAAAATATGATTACTATCATAATTATTACTATTAATTATTTTAATAGTAGTAGTAGTTGTTGTTGTTTTTGTAGTAATAGTAGTAGTAATAGTAGTAGTTAGTATTGGTAGTAGTAGTAGTAGTAGTAGTAGTAGTAGTAGTAGTAGTAGTAGCAGTAGTAGTAGTAGCAGTAGTAGTAGTAGCAGTAGTAGTAGTAGCAGTAGTAGTAGTAGCAGTAGTAGTAGTAGTAGTAGTAGTAGTAGTAGTAGTAGTAGTAGTAGTAGTAGTAGTAGTAGTACTAGTAGTAGTTGGATTAGTGTAGAGGGATCTTATGTTTCCATTTTAGCCTCTTCATCCAATCATTCAGCATAATTGAAACAGTGCAGAAATAAAAAACATCAATAATAATAATAAAAATAATAATAATAATAACCATAATAGCACACATACACACGTACACATAAATACACAAAATACCTAAATAAATACAAGTTTTTGTATTTTTTCATCCAGTCAAGAAGAGAGGGAAAGAGAGAGAGAGAGAGAGAGAGAGAGAGAGAGAGAGAGAGAGAGAGAGAGAGAGAGAGAGAGAGAGAGAGAGAGAGGGAGGAAAAAATACAAAGGATGAATAACAAACACAGGCAAGCAAGGAAGGTAACGATGGGATGAAATAAATGTAAAAACTATTCATCTGGTGATGTCTGTGTTTGTCTATGTGTGTCTGTGTGTCTGTGTGTCTGTGTGTTTTTTGTGTGTGAGTGCGAACTAATTATTAATTAAAAGTTATCAGTTACTATTTTCTGTATTTACTCATCCAAATGTTCATTCATCCACTCATTCATTCAATCATTTATTCTTTCATTCGCACATTCATCCATTTATAAATTCACAGACACACACACACCAAACAAAGTCACACACACACACACACACATTAACGATTGCACATAAAAATCAGGCTCCAATTCACACACACACACGAACACACGCACAAACACGATCATAAACACACACATACTTAAAATAGAAAAAATATATAATGTGAAGCTATGCACGACAGATGTGATTAGCAAGAGAAAGAAATATTTTTTTAGCGCAAGTGAAAAATTATCAAAAAATAATGAACAAATGAACGATTGAACGAACGGACGAACAAACGAATGAATGAGTGAATGAACAAACGAATGAATGAACAAATGAATTAATGAACGAACGAATAAGCAGAGTTCAAGCTAAAATTTCATGAAATACCATCGTCTTATCTTATAATCGATGTTTTAGAAGATTATTATTAATTTCACAATTAGCATTTCTTCAAATTAATAATAATAAGAATAAATAATAATTATAATAACAATAAATAATAATAATAATAAATAATAATAATAAGAGTAATAGTAATAAATAAAGTTTTACCAGCCGAAGTTAATTAACTCAAATGAAATCGTCAAACGCATGTAAAAAACGGACATTATTAATTTGTTATTATTGTTATTAATTAAAATTTATTCCGAAAATCTTAAACAAGAGGATAAATATGAACATGAGCAGACACAAACACACATTTGAGTGTTGTACAATCTCCGCACACCTATAAACTTATAATTTGGAAAAAATTAACGATTGCTACTTTTTGTCACGACTCCCTCTTGTTTATCTTCCCTATTTGTCTCTCTTTCTTCCTCTCTTTCTTTCTTTCTTTCTTTCTTTCTTTCTCTCTTTTTCTCTCTATCTCACTCTCTCTCTCCCTTCTCATTTTGATGTTATGTTCTCCAGTTTTTTTTATTCTATACTTTTAGTTAAACTTTAGGCTATAACATTCAGACCACGGGACACTTAAATTAGTCACACAGACACACACACACATACACACTCACACACACACACACACACTCAAACACACGTCTACAGTACAAGACGGGTTTAGCGAACACATGTACGTACACTAGAGCACCCATCCTCCATCAAACAGACAGTATTGCAATCGAACCTGGCCATTGCTCCATAGCATCACGAGATATGGCACTACTGCCAACTGAGCTAGCTTTCTCTCTCTCTCTCTCCTTCTCTATTTTCTCTCTATCCCTTTCCCTTTTCTCTGATTTTTTTTATATTTCTGCATTTGCAAAGAAATGAACGTTAAAATGTGCCAATCTGCCATCAATACATCAACATGTTTGTGATGGATAGATGGATAGATGGATGGATGGGTGGATGGATGGGTGGGTGGGTTAAAAATAATAACAAAATATTGAGAGAAAGAGAGAATGAGAGAGAGAGAGAAAGAGAGGGAAAGATTAAAAATAGCA